TCTGCCAAAATTTCTTTGGACGTTAGCTGAAGAAATACAGTAATTCAGCGAGGACGTGCTCCGGAACAAACTAGTTAGTATGGCAGAATTTTCAGGGAGTCACACGGACTCCTGCATATGTCAAATCAGGGAGTCCGACTGTAAATCAGAGAGTATTTGACTCCGGAGTCCCGTTAATTTTGCACCCTGCTTATCACAACGGAACAAGTGATCCGTCATGTTTGTTTGGGCCGATCATTGATCCAGATCCCAAATTCCTGAACCTGCTTGCGAGGTGGATTCGCGAGGGATCCAATATGGCAGTGTGCAACCCAGCTAGTTACAGCTGGTTGTCTGACATGTCTGTTATGAAACATCCTGTGATAGGTGCGAAACGTAAAGCGTTAGAAGTGAGTTTGTGTTTGTTTGGGCAGATCAGGATCAAGCGATCCTGATCAGGCGGATTCATTCCAAGCAAACACGCCCTTTATACATTAGCCAAGTCATACATAATCATTACAATACTGAATTGAATTTGCCTGCTAGCTATACTAAAAGTTTTGCTGATAGGGTCTATGTCCCCCAGGGTACTATCGGAGGATACCCTGGGTACGGTTCGATATATCGGTAAGTACCTTGGGGTACTATATGATATGTCGCTGCGTACCCTGCATTGTCCCACCGTACCCCGACTTTCAGCCAACTGATGTCGTAATACATACACTCTGTCAAGTTACCACATCACATAGAAGAAACCTCAAAACATCGCAATCCAATAAAAATGTATGGTATGTTTGACTATATTTTTCTTTTCCTTTTTTTAAAACGAAGAGCTAGCTTTTATAATTTAGTTTTACAACATCGGAAATCGGATGCTGAAATTAAGTCAGAGTACGGTGGGACAATGCAGGGTACGCAGCGACATATCGTATAGTACCCCGAGGTACTTTCCGATATATCAAACCGTACCCAGGGTACCCTCCCATAGTACCCTGGCCGGGGGACATATAGACCTTATCAGCAAGTTTTAGCAAAATGACATCACTATAGATATAGGGATTTCATGACACAGATATGTGATTCTGATTATATTTTACATGTGACCTACCTGAGCTCAACTCTTTTGTTAACACAGCATGGCTTGTGCGAATCTGTGCTTCCAACAGCCGCCGCTGGTACAATGTGTTTGAATTGAAAAATACAGACATACTACTCAGGAGGGGTGATGCAGCTGATTTAGGTGCCAATGGCGAGGTCAAATAATTTTGGTTCATGATGGCATATATGATATATGCAACCGTCTGGATACGTTTCAAGTTCAATTATCTACGTGCATACACGAAGAGGATCCAGATTAACTTGAGCAGACACGGCTGACGACATCTCACTCAGCTGGGCCATCTTCAGTCTTCAGATCAAGTTTGGCTCAACTCTCTACTAGTACAAGCCTCGAACGCACTGCAAAACATAATTATAATAGAAAATTCCAACAACGGATTAATGATACGCTTATCCCATATAACATAAGTTATACATTACATACTACATCTCTGTCACATGAACCAAAAACTGCATCTCAACTATGGAATGCAACAAAATCAGCAACAGGTTGTTGTAAACAAAATTTAGGCATGCGCGATGTAAATTTATAATAATAATATTATTAATAAATACGTAGGTCTTGGCCCTATATTAGTTGATACGAGTAAAGTATCATGTGGCTACTACCTGGCTGTGGCCGAGCTACGTAACGATTTTACACGCAGAAGATTATCCGAGTGAAGTTCACTGCGACCAAACCAAAGACCAAACTGCGACTGTGAATGTGTGATGTCGGTGATGATGATGTGATCGGATTGTGTACTTGTGCGTAGTTCTTGCTTGTGCATCATTGCACCACAGCGCCCCCACGTGCACAACTCTCGAAACACTGTACACAGGCGCGTCTGCTAACGTTGGGCACTATCGCATACGTACGTGTCGATATTGTTAATACAGGCAGTGGCCCCCCCCTGCGTACGTGTTTGGGGTGTTAAACACCCCCCTTGCCTCTGTCCCAAACAAACATTAAAAAAAAGAAAAGGAGAGAGAGAGAGAGTTTGTGTGTGTGTGTGTGTGAGAGAGGAGGGAGAGAAAGAGGGAAAAAGAGAGGGAGAGAGAACAGAAGGGCCCTATTATCCTGTTTATTAAGTTTAGTATTTGTAAACACCCCCTCCCGAGCTGAAGCCTGAAGGTCGTATGGCGCGGCGGCCGGCTTTGATGTACGCGATCGAACGCGTACGCATGCTATCGTGCTATACTGCCGCGGTAACACTTCGGTTACTCGCTCGTTCAAAGGGACGATTAATTGAGCTCCAGCCAATCGCGTAGCTCAAAAGATATCCTCTACTTCGACCATCCTAGACATGCACGAGTATTCTAAACATGCATGAAACTGCGTTTTACGATTCACCTTTTCTTGCATCTTTTTCATCATAAAAAATATTTTGGAACTCTCTTTAGGTAAGTAAAATGACAAGAGTCGGATATTTGAATATGTATGATCGGCAGGCGGTATCTTTGAATTTTTTTTGAAACCCTCTAAAAGTGACCGCAGTCGCACATTTTTCACTCCGAAATGTGAAGAGCGGGCGGGTGACCCGAACCAAAGGTAATTTTTTGGTCGGCCTTATTAGCCAATAAATGATGTGAGTACCCAAGGAATGTATGATGACAAATTTTTCTTCTGTCAAAATCATGATGATTTTAATGAAACAACAACAAGTAAAATATGATATAATACAGAAAAATGTGCAAGGAAATGCGGTATTTTTAGGCGTTATTTTAATTTTTTTTCAAACTCGAGGGGGGGACACCCCCCTCGAGCACCACGCGTATCTGCTCCGCTCCGTCCTATGCGCTGCATTACGCTATGCGGCTGCGCTATGCGCAGCGCTCCGCAGTCACTAACACGGGCGTAAATCCCGGGGGAATGGGGGGATGCATCCCTCCCTGCTCTTGAAGGAGGGGGATGGCCTGTACAAATATCCTCCCCTGAGATTCAAAAAAAAAAGAGAAAAAAGAAGAAGAAGAGGGGGTAAGAGGATCCCGATTTACCAGACAGGTTTATCAGCGTGGGTTTTAGGTGCTACAGTTCAATGAGGCTGCCACACAGTCGGCAGATTCGTAGATTGGGCAGAATTGGATTGCACGCAACACATATTATGTTCATAGACTTGAGTTTGTTTACATCGTGAGATATCAGAAATTTCACTGCACCTACTCTAGCTATCAAACGCAGCTTTTTATAATAGCTAGTGTAGGCCTATGCACGTTTGTCGACTGTCTGTAGTGTACGTAGTATGGATAAGTACTTTGATTCACTAAACAAACACACATAGCACAAAAACGCACACCTCTCTCTCTCTCACGCACGCACACACACGCACGCACGCACGCACGCACGCACGCACGCACGCACACACACACACAAGCACAGCACAATAACGCACAGCTCTCTCTCTCCTCACACACACACCGCGCGCGCGCGCACACACCTCTGTTTCTCTCGCGCGTCTCTTTCTCTCTCTCTCTCTTCTCTTCTCCTTCATCCCCCTCTCTCGCCACCCCCTCTCTCTTCTCTCTCTCTCTCTCTCTCTCTCTCTCTCTCTGTCACATACACAACACAAACACGCACACCCCCTCTCTCTCACACACACACACACGCACGCACACCTCTCTCTCTCTCTCTCTCTCTCTGACACATACACACTCCCTACGCAAAGGTTTACGTAAATTTATCTTGATGAATCGCACCTAAAACGGGCCTCGCTTGCGCTACGCGAAATCGTACGCAATATTTACTAAAATAACTGCGTGATAAATCGCAACTAAGCAACGTCGATTGCGTACGCACACAAGATTTACGCAAAAATATTTTGCGTACGCAGCTGATGAATCATGCATCTACCCCCGGCCCACACCCCCACCCGTCAGTTCAAGCGCACACGGTATCAGTCTACAGTTTCCAGGGGCGTGTACAAGGGGGGGGGGGTCCGGACCCCCCATGCTCGCGCAGAAAACGCATCTGAGGGGTGCTAATTAAAAAAAATGTCTGGGGGAGAGCCCCCCAGACCCACCCTTCGCGTCCTTCTAACACCCCCTTTACAAAATCCTGCGTACGCCACTGAATACAGGTATACATGAATCCGATTTTTAGCACAAAAAAATGTGTAAAGCAGATGTACACTATGAGTAGGCATGTATCTAAGTATGTCGATTTAAAAAGTATTAATAGAGATTAAAAGAGTACGGTATAAATATATGGTATAGTTGCATTGTGTTCTATTATATTGCCGTTACTAGAAAAAATATACCTGATGTGGAGCAGAGTAACCTACGTTTAAATTTAGAACGAATTTTGTAATCAGTATAGATCCGTGAACTCAAATACGCACACCCAGCAAAGTGCATATGCATCATTTAAATAAAAGAATTTATTTCAATATTTAATATTTCTAGTTGCGTTATAAACAAGCTGCAAACAACAATGACAGGACACTGACAATCAACGTACTCTGCTATAATTATATATTTTATTTATAATTATATCACCACCATGTACCAAAAATTACATACATGCGTACATATCCCAAATGCATTCAATTATGTTCTAATAAGTTTCATGTAATATTGTATTAGTTATTATTTGCTAGACAGTTTAGCATTCACAGCCATAGACCAGTGTCAGTATTAATTAAACAATTGTTGCAGATGTTGCGCACCATGCGTTTTCCTGTGATAATTCTTCTGCCTAATTACCAATATTGTTTTATCATCTTATTAGAACCCACTTATATTATTATTTAGACAATCGCATATAAACCTGCATTAATTAAGACAGCACGAAATAGATATGTACGTATTATGAGCACTGCAGTAACTTGAAGCGTAACGTTTTTTTCATCATGCAAGTTTCAAATGATCACATATGCATATTCGTAAAGCATAATTATCAAAACGCTATACAAAGCAACTGCAAGATTATCACCCAATCAATTGCCATTTTCCTTGTTAACAACGTCACGTCTGCAGATGGACTGCCTCACCACTGCAGGAGAGTAGCGACTGTTGCCATTAATAGGCTGGAGTGGTGATGCAAACACTGAGCCGGTGGAACTGGTACTGCTTCCCCTCATGGATTGATTCAATTTAGAAATGCTTCCACTCTGCAACCGATTTGGTGTTGGGATGCTCCCCTTTTGTGACCAATTCGGTGTGGGGATGCTCCCTTTTTGTGACCGATTAGGTGTGGGAATGCTCCCCTTTTGTGACCGATTCGGTGTAGGAATGCTCCCCTTTTGTGACCGATTCGGTGTGGGAATGCTCCCCTTTTGTGACCAATTTGGTGTAGGAATGCTCCCTATTAGTGACCGATTCGGCGTGGGGATGCTCCCTTTCTGTGACCGATTCGACAATGGGTTGACCCCAGTTTGCGACTGATTCAATGTGGGTATGCTTCCCTTTAGTGATCGATTTGGTGTGGGAATGCTTCCTCTTACTGAACGATTCGGTGTGGGGATGCTCCCTTTCTGTGATCGGTTAGGTGTTGGAATGCTCCCTCTTGTTGATCGATTTGGTGACGATATGCTTCCACTGCTTGAACGGCCTGGTGTTGATGCTACTGACCCATCAGACAATAGAACAGAAGAGCTAACAGACCATAATCCTCGCTGCCCCGGGGTCACCATACATGCCAGTCTTTTACCTGTGGTGGAAGGAGCATGGGCAATGCCACTAGCTCTGCTTGGTGTTCCATAACCATTGGAGGATAGCCTCCGAATGCGATCCATCTTGACATGTTTGCTTGACGGCGAGTTTAAAATACTTGGATCTACAGATCGGCTAGCAGGGCCTGTCCTAGGAGAACTGTGTGCCATCACCCCATGTAACTCTGTCGGGCCCTTGTTTTCTAACTTTCCGCTGCTTGTGGTTTTCACAGGCAGATTAACTGGTGGATATTGCGCTTTTTGCCCGAGAGCAGCTGCTCTCACAGGTCTGACAGCCTTTGCCTCCGTAGCTGCCCTCGCTTTATTGTGTGCCATCTTCTGATGAAAGGTACCTGGTCTCATCAACTGAAGCTTGCTTTTCATTGGTTTTGTAGGTAGTTTAGATGGCACAACCATATTATCTGGGTCTTCCGTAGAGGAGCGACTGCCACCAGAGGAACCCGACTGGATAGCAGAAGCAGGAGGCAGATGTGCTACAGGAGTGGGTTTAGTTACAATTCTTGGAGCCTGCAGGCTGCGACGAACTGACGGCTTTACTAGTTTACTGGATGATGCTGTTCGAGCATTCATGGGACACTCCATTTCTGCATTATGACCTTTGTCTAATGCAGCAGTTTTACCAGAAATCTTAAGATTTTGTTTTGACATTTTTGGCATTATCGAATTAGTGTTGCTCTGAAAATGTTGGTTTCCTTTTCTGCCAGCTGTTTTTAGTTCTAGTTTTGGTGTTGCTGGGCTTTTTTCCATTGTCATTGAAACATCATCTACTGACAGTTCCAGGAGAGGGGAAAGATGTGTAGTATTTGAAACAAACTGTTTTTCTCTTCCAGCTTTTATCAAGTCTAGTTTTAGCATTCCAGGATTCTGTTCTGTTGCTGTTGGTTCATCACCTTTAGAAATATCCAAGAAAGGAAGAACAGACTTGTCACCTGAGACATCCTGTTTTTCATCTCCACCACCTGTTACTAGGCTTAGTTTTGGAGTACCAGGACTCTTTTCTGTTGCTGCTGGGTCATTGTCTCCTGTTACTTCCAGAAGAGGAAGAACAGACTTTTCATTTGTGACATCCCGTTTTCCCATCCTGCCTTTTGTTATCAGGTCTAGTGAGGGAGTTCCAGGACTCTTTTCTGTCACTGATGGTTTATTGTCTTCTGTTATTTCCAACAGACGAAGAACAGAATCGTCAGTTGGGACATCCTGTTTTCCCCTTCTACCACCTGTTATCAGATTCAGTTTGGGAGTACCAGGACTCTTTTCTGTTGCTGCTGCATCATTGTCTCCTGTCACTTCCAGAAGAGGAACAATAGAGTCATCATTTGGGACATCCTGTTTTCCCCTTCTACCACCTGTTATCAGGTATAGTTTGGGAGTTCCAGGACTCTTTTCCATTGCTGCTGGTTTATCTCCTGTCTCATCCAGAAGAGGAACAACAGAATCGTCATTTGGGATATCCTGCTTTCCCCTTCCACCACCTGTTATCAAGTTTAGTTTGGGAATTCCAGGACTCTTTTCTGTTGCTGCTGGTTTAGTGTCTCCTGTCCCATCCAGAAGAGGAACAACAGAATTGTCATTTGGGGCATCCTGTTTTCCCATTCTACCAACTGTTATCACATCCAGTTTGGGAGTTCCAGGACTCTGTGCTGTGACACTTGGTTCCTCATGCTCAGCATAGAGTAGTGATTCAAATGTATCATGTACAAGTTTGGTGTTGCATGAATTTGTTTCTAACTCTGCAGATCTGGCAGACCCTGTCACAGCCTGTGGGTTTCCGAGCTCCAGGATATCAGTTAAAGATGTTCCAATATGCTTGGTGTTTTCTGTGGTTTTAGCAACACTAACAGGAATGTAAAAACTTGGTGATCTAGCCTGATCGTTGTCACCAGGTGATAAGTCTACTAAGAGTTGATTTCTGTCAATATTTGGCTTCTTTGGAGTAGTGTTACACATGGTTTTTTCGTTCTCTAGTGAAGATAAGATAGGAGGGCCACCCTGCTCGTTAATCTTATCACAGATATCTTTGTAGCTTCTGCTAGGGGCAATCTTCTTATTGCTTGCACCAGTCTTTGTCACAAGTGCAGAGATCACAGTTTGGGAGCCTACAAAGAGTTGAGCCATTTGCTTGGTATTTAGGTCTTCAACTGGTGATAAAGGTGATCCAGGTAGGAGTTGCTGCTTTGCTGCTTTAATACACTGTTCCGTATATCCGACGGGACCGAAAAACACGTCTTCTTCTGCCTGTTCATCTTCACCAAGTGCTTGGTTTTTGTCAGGGGTGGTGGATAGATCGAAGTCGAATGTTTCATGCTCTAGCATTGACAGCTCTCCATCACTCATCCTGACAGTCTGAAACAAGAGAAACATGTTATGACACTTATGTGTACATATATATCTTGCTGCTCTTCGAAAATCAGATCATAAGCTCGGATAATTATTATACGGAAAAATCATTACTCGGATAATTATTATATTAAATATACGTAGTGGCCGGAGGTACGGCAGCCGTCGTTCGTTGAAGCCCCTTTTTGGCGTTTGTTTGAGGGCTGAGGCAATGATTTGTGATCTTCTGATGTAACGTTTACAATAATGTTCATTTTCATACATAATCCAAGTGTTTCTAGCTCATCAAAACTCTCCAATCGTGAATTTAATTCCCCAAGGCCACAGGCACTTGGAACGTCTCAATAAAAAAAAGGTAAATAAACACGAAATGTATTTACTACCAGTCTTAATGTTTCTCTACTCTATTTCGCCTATAATCACCTCTAAATGCCGGTCAAATGCTCATCTGCAACACACAAGCAGTGCTCGAAATAAGCGTTGTCCGGTTGTCCGAGACAACCAGAATTTGCGCCGGACAACCTAACCAGTCTGAGACATTGTCCGGTGGACAACCAAGAAAAATGTGACGAAAAACGCACTTTATTTATGTTTTTCTCAGGGGTTCTCCAAGAGCACTTATAGCCTGGCGGCCCGCCATTAATCTATGGTGTGGAAAAGCAACGCATACCAGCTGCTATTTCCAACACTGGTATATGTCAGGTTTTCTGATTTATGAGAGGTGAATTCAACTCGATTTGGAACCAGCAAACCAGCAAGTTCACCCTTACATTTTGGTATTTTTTATTCCATTATTATTTTGAATTTTCCGATGGCTTTGCCCATGCAAAACAAACAACAGTGGGGATTCATGTTGATCCGAAAGTTAAAAAAAAGAAGAGAATTGTCGTAGTCAGAATGAAGGCTGTATATGTACTCAAAAGTGCCGCAAATACCATCTCCTGCGATCTACATTTTGAAATTGTGTTAAAGTATTAATGTGTTTTCTCACGGGTTTTAATGACAATATAGCTATACTAAATGTAGATTAAA